GTTGAAGGGTATATATGTGACCTCTTTAAATTTTTACGAGAATAATCTATATTTGGTGAGAACTGATATAAGAAATGTTTGCATTATTGTAGTGATATATCATGTCCTGCTTGTTTTTCTTCTATTCATATTTGTTCATAAAGGTTCAATAACCATCACCTTGCATCCCATATGATGCATTGAATATTGCATACAAGATTAGCGTAGAAAAAAAAATTCTAAAATTATGCAGTTTCTGCATGTTGGCATACCTAACATTGACCTTTGATAGCATAGTATACCATCATATACGACTAGGTGATACTATATATGTCATCATAGGACTAGATGGTCCTGTGTTGTTCAACTATCTGTTTTTTCAGAAAGTAATGGCGGAAAATCAGATCAGAACATCAATGGACTGAAGTGGACATGAACAATGCAAGAAAATTGAGTATGCCATCATGCATAAGATATCAAGTATGCTATCAAATGATATCATCATATCAAGTGCCTATGATGGCTAAAAACATGTTTTCGTTACTATTTTGTAGTAGAAATATTTGATATAGCATAGTATATTATACAATTTTGTAGTACGGTATTATTGGATGAATGTATAGTGCCTGACGCCTATGTATTTTACTAAACGTTTGGTATTTACTACCGACTGAATTCGTGAACTCATTTTTGAATCATGAACTCAATACCTGCCTATTAGTTCTGTTATGAATAACTCATAAATTGATTACTGATATCGCTTTCAGTTGCGTTATACCTATACCTAATTCGATGCCCTAATTGGCTGATATAATAACTTCGTAATGCTATATAGAGCAATTTTGTACCAATTTGCAGAAACATGTGTTCCAATATCATGCATATATAATTGTCCAATGATTCTATTAGTCTGTTTAATCGAATTAAAGAATTTCTAAAATGGCGGAGAGAAGCCATAAAAAGTCCATTCACAGTTCATTAAAAATAATTAGTCGGGATAAATGATTAGGTTTATTTTTGTCCATCGATAAATGAGTCAATACAATCTTAATAGGTGGTCATTACTGACAAGGAAGAATAAATATGAGGCAGAGAAAACTTCGTTGGGTTTTTTCTTTACTCTGTAAACATTGATAAAGCTGGATGAAACAAATATAAGTATTTATAGGACCAGTAGACTCAGGAGTAGACGAACTTTGAGTGATGGTCTATTTCTATATTTCTATGGACACACACCACTTCATGCATGATTCCATAGATTTATAAACCGAATTAGGTATTCCAAAAGATTTTTCATGCGTATAAATGATGAAGATTAAAAGAATTAACTTGAAAATAAATTTTGATGACTACAATTATTCACTTTAGATTATTTTCCGCTGAATATCACTCGGACATTGACAAATATGCCTCATAATTTCATGACAAATTTCTCAAGCTGGTTGCTTGAACCAGCTTTTGATTGTCATAAAATTATCTCGTCTACTATCGATGTCCTAGGGATATTACTACTGACAAGATATTTATCAGGCTTGGTATATCAGGCTTGTTAATCGAAATAGAATTTAGCCTTATTGAATCAGAACATTAAAATATTTGTGTTGAGAGGAATGAAAACATTGTTATTACTACATGCATTTACCAAATACCATAAGGATGCAAAAATATATCGACCCAGTGCCGTAGCTAGGTAACCAAGTGCCTCATGGTGCATATAAGAAAATTGGACCGATTCGAGAAAAACTGACATACGCCCAATCCTTCAAAATGTCTGCTATTTGGGGCACCGGTGTTTTTTCTCCCAATTCGTAATTCCTGGCTTCACAAAACTCCATGAATTATCTCCACAAATCGACGATTTCGTGTTTTTAGTTGCTTGCGAAATTGTATTTTTTATACATTTCGAGATTTCTTCCGAAGAAATTTCTCCAAATCGGCTCATTTTGCGTATTTTCGTATTATACAATACCTACCCATCAAACATGACAAGACAGAAATTGAAGTGACGGTCGCATACTCGATGAAGGAACATGCATTTTTACAGCGATAAAAAAGGATGCACCTTTTTTATCGATGTCAAAATGACTCACGTCGTCTTCAAATAGGGTTTTCCGTGTAGGAGTTGATTTATCAAGTGACAAAATATTGAATAATACAAAGACTTCAAAAATTCTAAGCTACTCTATTATCAAATATTTTTCGGGCAATTATTATTTTCAATTTGCTAAATGACCTTTCAGCTGCTACAGAAGTAACAGGAATTGTAAAGAATTATATAACATTTATTTCCGTTTATTTCCTTACATAATTATTGGTGAACAGACCAATGCATGAGTTAATCGAGGGAAAACTAGGTGATAAATATTAATGCACCCAGTTGAACGTGTATTTAATTAAGTTATGTGTCTAATACGTTATTGAAAATATCAATTTTAAATATTTCTTCTCTGTTCGGAAATCGGCCATCAGCAGCTAATTCATCAAAATTCTCTTCAACTTACCTTTGCCTTTTTTCTTTAATCTATACCATAATTTCTTGCAGTTTCACTGATGGCTTTGCACTCGAATAATTCGAAATAATTTCTATAAACTTGCAACTTTGCTTTCGTCTCTGATGAAACTTTACTTATTGCCTCACCCAAATTGATGTCGCATTCTAGTAAACTTTCAGATGCATGATTGATGTCATTCAATACACTGTGCCAAAATTCGCAAAGCAACACGAACTCGAAATTTAGCATTTTAGTTTCAATACTCTCTGTATTAGGACTCTTTCTGATAACCTGTCAACCTGTCATATTTATTTTGAAAATAGGTGACATTTTCAAATTTTCAAAAGTTCAGTTCGATCGACATTTTCTGTTAAGGATTCAAGGAGGGCCCCGCCTAGCCCCTTGGTAGCTACGCCACTGTATCGACCTCATGGGACTAAAAACGAGTTCCACCGAATTTTTCGCTTCTCTTTCTAACCACATCGTGCCGTGCCGGTCGGCAACAAAGCCCTCGAAAAAAGCGAATCAATATTTTGTCTGCGAGTTCGGAAAGTGGACAGAACATAAGCCGTTAAGTACCATACAAGTAGAAAAGCCAAATACTACAACTCTGAGCAAACTAAAGTGAAATATGTGCTCTGTTTGATCGCCAGGGAAGGATTTTGTATGAGATGTTTTGGAGTGGAAATAAATATTGTGGTATCGGATTTTGGGTGATGGGGTGTTACACCTATATAGGCACTATATACCTATAAAATGTAAAATGATTTGTTAGGTATTTGTCACGCTCATGGGTAAGTATAAAGTCCATAGAAATTTTCAATTGCAAAGCATTACCCTCGTTTGCATAATTTTGAAGTAGATATTTTGTAAAGTTGACCACCATTCAACACTTAGATACCTAATAGTTTTGTTTTGGTAAAGATGAAACAATTTTTTGGTAAATAATATAATGTCGTTATGTTTTTTAGGTTGGATTGGACTTCTCCAACTTACATGAAATCGAGCGATTTCACCATATAATTCGTGAAATGGCCGGTCCATGCGCTGTATATTGTTAGCGTCTCAGTCATCTCACTGTCTCAGTCCCTTTTCAACGTGCAAACAGTGAACAGTGTATTTGGGAATCACATGATGACCGTTCTAAGTCACCACATTATTATATGTGATAATTATTCTAAATGAAGAACTTCGGAGTAAAGGAATGTCCGAATCTCTGTGGTCATCAGCAAGGAAGACTCGAACCAGCTCGAGACTAAGCAGAGGCCGTTTTGTCCAATTGATAACGCAGCGTCAGTCTTGATGGAAGTTCAGTGCATAAAAACAATACTGTGCTTTCCATTTCAGCGAAGTGAATTAAAATTGAATAGAAGTACTTATACTGCAAGTTCGAGCAGAAACATGTTATTAGCATGATTATATCTGTGAAGTTTGGGAATACTTACTGCGGGTAAGTTTAATTTCGTAAAATACATGATGGCTTTCAACAACATGGCTGATGATCGTGAATAGTATCAAATAATTCAAATATTCATTTGGATGGTGTGATTCTTAAAATTTGTATTGTATATATAATGTTGATTTATATCCGATTACCATGACGTTCAGATAAATCAATAAACGTATTCTTCTGTTGAATAGTCCATATCGACCTTGATGTCTTTCACAGCCATGCACAGCCATGTTCGTGTGTTTGCTTTTCACTCAATAGTGACTGAAAATTAATCAAATAAGGGTATTTCAAATCAGAAATGAGTAAATTGAATCATCATTGATCACATTATTTCCAAATTAGGTATATTGAATCTTAATTGAGAAAGTGTTATCAAAACTGATTGAATAATTCAATTGTGATCATTCATGAGATCGATAAAATATTTGTTTGAAACGTTATTCGTGAATTTGTTTCTATTTAGGTAACATGCCCAGAACAAATCTGCTCTGACTAATACATTTTTGAATCAGCTGTTTATATATGCATTTTTCGTCTGCAGATTGATGTGACTGTCAACGTGTCAACGAGCTTGTCTTACTACATTCTGCAGCGAGAAGAAGCCATACTTGATTTCGGAAGGCGAGACCGCATGTACTGATGATTTCGAATTGTGTTAGCTTTGTTCTTTATTAGGAGTACATTGTGATAGTAATTGTATTGTAATCTACTCTGATTGTCAATATACACTCAATAATGGGCATATTCATACTCAATAAATGTTCTAGGCACTCAAAAATGAGTTGAAACTCACTCAAGAAATCGCAAAGCTGAAATAATATTCAAATCTGAACTGGGAACATTGACTCAATTGTGATTCCTTATGTTCACTCATTCAATTACCATTTCACTCAGTCAAGTAGAGTGAATTTTCAACTCAATCGGGCGTGGACCGAAATTGAGACATTATTGAGTGAAAATTCACTCATTTTTTTTTCAGTGTATGCACTTACCAGAGGCGAATAGAACGCCGAGCTCTCCACCCCGATGCTCGGATAGGGGTTCTGGTCCGTGGAGGGGTACGGCGTGCCGTATACCCCCACGCTCGCGTTCCGGTACTGCAGCGCCGCCAAGCGCGCAGAGTCGTACTGGCACGAGCAGACGCTCTGGCCGGTCACGGGGTCGGTCATCAAGGGTCGGCCCGACTCACAGCACGGGGCCGCCCCGGAGGAGGAGGTGCCGCCCGGAGAAAGGCCGCCCACCGCCAGGCCGCCCGCCGATCCACCCGGACTGAGGCTGCCCGAGAGCGGGGAGGAGCCGGAGTTCGTGGTGGGTTGGCCGGACACGAGAAGCTGAAAGAGGATTCATTCATATAAATCATTGAAAAGTGTACGCCAACAGTGATCAATGCCAAACGCGGATACATGAATGAAATCGCCGATGGTGGGGATAATAATTCTGCGAAATCACAATCCCAAATGCCAAACACGGAGAAATGGACAATACTATCCTAGAATGATGTTCCTCGATGAAGGATTTAGGGGAACACTTTCACTGAAAATCTAAAGTTCACCGAGCATATGAATATCGTGAGTAGTGAAGCTTTTAGAATGCTATAGGGTTTCTTAAACGTTCAACATGTGAATTCAGGAATATTGAATCGATCAAATAGCTTTATTACTATTTAGTTCGCAGCCGTCTTGAATTTGTATCCATAATTTGGGATCCACACGTTCAGGTCTTGAAAACAAATTCGGAATCTGTGCAGAATAAATTCTTGAAATATCTGTACTACTGTCAACACAAAGTGAATCCAAGGTTCGAATCTTACCAACCAATACGCGATGAGTTTGAAATACAACATTTAGAGCACAGAAGAACTATTATTAAAATGGAATTTATACACAAAATTTTGAATGGATCGATAGAGAGCGAGTACCTTTTAGGTCAAATAAATATTCTAGTACCCTTAAGAACACTTCGTCCCAGACCCATACTCTTTCATGTTTCGATAACAAGTGGCTCTTTAATGAACAGTATTCTCCAAATCTGTAATAAGTATGTTGACAGAATGAATAGTAGTTGTTTTTTTGATACCAAATTAGCCAAGTTTCGGAAGGATTTGTTGAATTTACTGTAATTAAAATCAATACCTGTATTCTCTAAGGATCTAAGTTACATCATACAACTTAACCCATCAGCTCAATTTTGGCTCTATAATTTCTGCTCTATAATTGATTATTGCTATTAAGTAGTTATAAGTGGAAGTTAGGATAGGTTAGTTTAGGTTAGAAAACTTGTAATTAGGTGTGAACCTGTTAATTTTCTATATATAAATAAATAAATAAATAAATAACTAAAATGCAAATGAAAATAAAAATTTTTTACCAAGGAATTGATATTCTTCAACTACTTGTGCGCATGTTTTGACAAAAAATGTTATTTTTCTGGAGTACATTTGCAGTTAGGGAATCGAAAAAAAATGGCTGGGATGATTAGACGTCTTCAATTCGATATAATGAAATTCATTATCAATCATAGACCAATTCTTCATTCCAAGGTAGGCGAAGTTGCATGAGAAATTTCGTTAGAAATTATGTCAAAATAATACCTTTTTTGATTTTTTTTTATGTTCTGGTTCCCACGAAAAGGGATATCCTAAAATGGATGTCTTCAAAGGTATGGTTACTCCTGACAAGCTTTTTTGCGCACAGTGAGATCGGCTTTTCTAGAGAAAAGACATGCTTGTGTTTTGTTTGCATTTAAATCTACCAAGTTATTGGATCCCCATTCGAGAAGTGTTGCCAAGTCCATATTTATGTTGTCAACATTTCTCCCTCGTTCGTTTCTGATTTGCCTTTATAGATGATAATCAAAAATGATTATCTCAAAATCAAAGTTGAAGCTATTAGAGCTGGTTGCTTGTATATCCACAAAATCTTAAAAATAGGTTATGTATAAGTTCCTCTCGACTGTAAAGTAACAACAGAGTTTCAAAGTAAATGTCCAACGATGGAAAATACGTTATACCTATTAGGTAATCTGAAATTCCCGACTGAGAGTTATCAGTGTGACAACATAGCTATCTAAATCCGGCCATTATAGAAACATCGTACGATCATCATGCTATTTATTCGGAAAACAGACTGGAGAATTGCGTGAAGAGGAAATACATCAAATTTCCATTTGAGCAAAAGACACTCCATCATTCCATGTCACATTACATACAAATGAAATGATAAAGCATATACCAACCTAGCTCGAACATCTGTTCATTATATCCCAACGAATAATATCGGCTATTTATCTTTGAAAAGCACTTTGATTGGAGTTATACCTTTGTTTACATACCTACATGGTTATATTCTTTCCACTTCTGAGCTATATTGAAGTCCGAGGTCAAGTCTTAGGGATTCATCAAAACCTCATATATTCCTTGTTTGAATCAACTCCTATGGAATATAGAGGTAGATTTACATTCTACATCTAGTTATATAGGTACACCTATATATACCTACCTACAAGCTCTCATCTGTCAAGAAGCCTTCGAAAATGTATCTAAATGTTTCATGGTCGGTACTAACATCAACCTAGGCTATAATCAACATTGATCTCATGGTGAGATGACGTTTAATATGATTCTTTGGGGTTAGTGATGGTATGAAATCATAATCGGTCATCGGTCGATAATCTACCAAGTTACAGACATGGTGGAATTATAATATGGTGTGCTACAACGCATCTTCGTATACGTCACTGCGAGTAAAACAATTTTTGCTCGCAGTGATAATTTTGGTGTGAATATATAGACTCGCAATGATGTTATGCGCAGAAGAGACGAATTCAAGATACCTGAGTAGCACACCATATTATATTCCAACCATGGGTACAGACGACATTTTCAGTAGCAAAAAATAAAAATATTTCTCCAGGTTAAAGATATCGTAAGAACCTACATATTGTAAATAAAAATGTGATCCAGAACGAGTGGTAGGAAAAATTAGATTTTGACTTACTTACTGATGAAATACCTACCTTATTATTATTATATTATTATTATGATAGTGACTGAATATATACCTAAATTAGATTCGCATTGATATATAGAGACGTATTCAAATGACATTGTAATCTAACCACCATTAGTAAGCAGACTTAATAGTCAACAAGTGTCAACTAATCAACAAGATATCAACATCAATTGCAACAAGCGTATATACAAATTGAGTTATGGAAAAAGAACAAGCAATCCGAGACCGGAGTTCCTATTTTGCATTTTGCCTTCCCTTTAATAACTGCAGCTCTACTCGCCTCTGCCCAAGTTAATATTCCTCAAATTATTCAGTGCGTTCTTTTCTAGCATTAGCATGGTGAATCATCCATCATATACCGATAATTAGTCGATCATATAAATGTCCCCCGACACGACCATACGTTAACACAATATATTGAAAATAGCAGGAGATACAGTTTATTTCCAATTATGATAATTCAAATCTAACAGCGCCGACATATATCATATATTTATTTACATCATACCTATGCCTACTTTATTTAATATGGAGAAGTAGCTAATCTATGTATGTACTTATATTCCTCATGAAACGTTCATTCAAATCGATACAGGTTGATAGGTACATAACGATTAGGTATATCAACCGAGGTATATACGTTCCTAATAGGCGGTATAAAAATGCTGATGCCTTCAAAACACGATTGTTGAGGCTGTTGATTACCTTATTATTAGATAGGTAGTGCCTATAAAACAAATGTGTAGGCTGCTCCTTCATCGATTCAAGTTTTTATGATGAATACTCGATTTTCAATAACAATTATCAGACTTAGGTACTTCTGAAATACCTATCATGATTGTGAATGAATGTATACCTAAATCAGATTCGCATTGATATATAGAGACGTATTTATATGACATTGTAATCTAAACACCATTAGTAAGCAGACCTAATAGTCAACAAGTGTCAACTAATAAACAAGATATCAACACCAATAACTGCAAGCTACATTGATAGGAATCGTATTCAGAATTGAGTTGAGAAAAGAACAAGCAATCCGAGGTCGGATGTTCCTATTTTGCCTTACCGTTAATAATTGCTCTACTTGCATCTTCTCTGTTCTTCACCACATTGAGTGCGTTCTTTTCTATAATATACATAGCCTTAGCATGAATCATCTATCAAATATACCGATAATTATTCGATCAAATAAATGGATCCCACAACACTACCATACGTTAACTCAATATAGGTATTGAAAATAGCAGGAGATGCAGTTTCTTTACCATTATGACAATTTAAATCTAACAGCGCCGACATTTTTATTCACATCATACCTACCTATACCTTATTCAACATGGAGAAGTAGCTAATCTATGTATGTATTTATATTCCTCATTGAAGCCTTCATTCAAATCAATACAGGTTGATAGGTACATAACGGGTAACAAGGTAGGTATATAGGTACGTTCCTAATATAGGCGGTATATGCTGATGCCTTCAAAACACGATGGTTCAGGCTGTTGATTACCTTATTATTAGATAGGTAGTGCTTATATATAAAACAACTGTGTATAGGCTGCTCCATCGTTAATTGATGTTTTTATGATGGATACTCGATTTTCAATAACAATTATCAGACTTTTCTGCGAGCTTTTCTGTCGGTGTAGGTAGAGGTATATATTCATCAAATTAGCAGTCGGTGACTTCAGAAAGGATATTACCGACTGCTGAGACAGAAGTGCTGAGCAAATGTTTGCAGCCCTCAGTGTGTTTGTTCAGCTCTCGTAAGCACGCGAGGGGATTATACCAATCGGTATAATTACCACTCTGATGGCTATATATCAGTATATAGGTACCTATCCACTCTGAGCGAACGATTCTTCGAAAACTTTATTTGGAATAGTAAGTAATAATTGACTGGTTTTGCCATGCATTGGTAAAACATAAGATATCTGAAGGTACCTAGATGATTAAGCGAGTGATTAAGCAAGTAAGGTATACCTATATGTTTCTCTTCTTCTTCTTTTGTTTCTCTTCTTCTTCTCTTTTTCTCTCAATAAATCGCATACCTACCTAATAATGTAAATTTTTTGTTCATTCATGTTAAAACCCGAGTCAAAACCCCAGTTGATGCGATATTAAAATAACTTAAAGTTGTTGTGTGTTTTATTTTATAGACTTTGTAAATCCATGTTTTTCCTGGTGTTCTCTTCTATTGGAGCTTCCAATTTATGCTGGGTAGGTTTTTGCATCAAAATAATATAAAAATCATTGACTACGGCTGTTTGGATGAACCCTGCTCGACTAACACAACAACAAAAAAAGAAAAAGAAAAAAAGAAAAAAAGAAAAAAAAAAAAAAAAAAGAAAAACAAATAATTAAAAAACAAAACACCTACATCTGATTGATAAGAATTCTATGAAATCGGTCTAGAAATCGGTATGTCTATGAGATTAACTGCAAACTGCATGAATAGGTATAATCTATAGGTAGGTAGATATATATACCTAATTAGAAATTATCTCTTCTATATTAGGTAAAAAAAAAGTTGAAGCATTTTACCGTTGAAAAAAACGTGATGATGAAAATGGAGGTTGGTGAAAATGTCACGGGAAAAAACATTTTTGTTTTCATTCAAAAAGTAGGATTTAGCATCAAAATGAAATAAAAATCATTGACTATGGCTGTTTGCAATGGACCCTGCTCGACTGACATAACAAAAAAAAAGAAAAACAAACAATTAAAAAACAAAACACCTACATCTAATAAGAATTCTATGAAATCGGTAGGTATAGCTATGAGGTTAATTGCAAACTTCATGAATAGGTCATAGGTATAGGAAGATACCTACCTAACTAGAAGCTGCCTCTTCCATAGGTAAAAAAAAGTTGAAGCATCTTACCATTGAAAAAAACGTGATGATGAAGATGGAGATTGGTGAAAATGTCGCGGGACGTTTTTGTTTCTATTCAAAAGATCTATCCGAGTATCACATAACGTTATATATTGTTGTAAATAAATTGACAATGTTATTGAAAAATTAACAATCAAGGTTCACCTATTTAACCATGTATACATAGGTGTTAACGGGTATAAACCTTGAACCAACCGCAACATACCTACATTAATGCTACAGTAAATTTTCAATAGTCCCGACGGTTACGGTGCAGTGTTAAACAAAGAAAAAATATTAACCTATTTTTACTTATTTATGACTATTTTCTCATCACATAATATGACCAATCACAAGCGAGAGACAACGTGTGACTATCGCGAAAATCAGCTGACTTTCAATTCTGATTGATCTATCAGCGTTGATGTTATCAAACGATGTAACCATGGATATAGCGAAGCAAAGTCTGGATGTACCATGGATAGCGAAGGAAATTCGGTCAAATAGGAATAAAATAATTGTGTATCTGTTTACTTGTCAGAATGAATCACTCATTAACTATTCTAGCAAAATACCACTCCGTTCTGAATATCTTCTCATAATCCTGTCTTTTATTATTAACTCAAATGTATTGCCGTACAGCAATTTTGTGAACAATGAAGCGACAGAATTATCTCGGATTTTCAGAACATCATGATAGGTATTACTTAATTTCTTTATAAATAATATAGGTAGTAATAATAAAAGTGCTTAGTTGGTTACCTACCCAATATAAGCTACCGATCGGAGTCCTTCAGCCTATAGGTATTTTGACATATATTGTATTTAATTTGTTATGTTGTATATATTATTTATGTGACTCATTGTTTGATGCAGGTGAAAGAAGACGAAAATGAAGTTTTAAAGATTGATTAATCCTCTTATTTCTTTATATTATTTCAAGAAGATGAATATATATATATTTTATTACCTGTGACGCCGTCGGATAAGAATACCCAAACTGAGCATAAGCGGCCATCTCACTGCTGGGACGTCGAACCAGCTGACGAAACGAAAAAAAAAACGGCCAACACAGTCACTCACAAAACACAAAAATAAATTAATCCATGCATCATCGGCACAACACCACCATCATGTCCTTGATGTCGCTGCCAAATCAACCCTCGTCGCAAAATCAACATAAACAACATAAACACTACGAGGTGAGACCCGAGGCACGCTGAAAGCAACTGGGCTGATGAGCCCGAAGAGAATCCAACGGAAACGGGCTGCCCCCTGGAGGGGAGCAGACGAGGGGGCGTGTCTGGGCGTGGCCGGCACATCTGTGCCGAGAGCTACACGAAAAAGCCGGGGCTACGGCGCACGCTCGCCGCGCTATTGGCTCCCCACCACTCGAGCAGGACGAAAGAGGCGTGGCGCCCCGCCTACTGGAAGCGCGTGGGGGAAAACACGCGTGACTATCTTGTTTATGGGGCTCCACAGATCCCGACAAATCCCACTTCGATGCAACAAAAACGCTAACTGAATTTATTGGATACAAGGTGTTCGTTGGAATGAATCGCTCTCGTCGTTTGTATTCTGATTCGGACGAATGATGCTCCTCTTTTTACATGGAAAGTCACT